TACACATACACATATGTATGCATCGTATATTGTGTATATCGGTTCAAATCTACAATTTTGTGCGTGTATTTTAAAACTCATTTAAAACGAGCCAAGTTCCAATTTTTCTCAACAAAAATAACTTAAGCAACAACAAAACCAACGCTAAAATTGTATGGAAAAATAAGTGAAGAATAATTTTGCGGCGGTCTATCTCTGTCTCACTCTTGCACTCAATCAAATGCAACTAAAGTAAGAAATGGCCAACTGAAAGAAAAAATTTTGACTGTAAGCAAATTGTTGTTACTGTTGTTGTGGCTGTAATTGCATATTAGCATGTAAGGTGCCCACACCCATGGTCGATTTTTCGCATTTACATGTACACACACACAATCACACACATACACACTTGGATATATATGGATATATGCATGCACACTCACGATAGTAAAAACTTGGCTCAATGGGCAGGCCAGCGACTCAGAGCGCATTTCTCTACACTTTGCTGCCAAATGCCGCCTACACGCACACATATACACACGTACACACTCACACACACAGTTGCGATTTGTGCAGCGCCGGCTGCAGCCGACGTTTAACCTAAAAAACGCAGTCGACGCTGACGTCGCCGCTTGCAGCTAAGCGCGCTCGCTAGCTTACGCTCTCCTGCTCTCTGTGCATTGCATATCTTAGGGCGCGCTCAGCTGACAGCAGCTGCTGCTGCTAGTGCCGCTACTGCAGCTGTTGACTGCGCTGCGGCTGCATTCACTCTCTTTCTCTCTATTTTTTCTTTCTGCCGCACCCAAAAGCAAAACGGCCTGGCTATCCTCTGCTGTCTGATGTTCCTTCTTCCTCCTATTTCATCAGACTTTTGGCTTTTGCTTTTGCCATCGCCTGCTGCAAGGTGTGTCACTTTTTTGTTTTGTTCTTACAGTTTTTAGCCACTTTGTATTGCATGCCAAGGGGGTGGAGGGTGTTGAACCGTTAGAGTGTAGAAGCCTTTGCCATATCCTTTGCTTTGTTAGTGTCAAATTAAGCGGAAACAATTTTAAACAATTTATGAATGAAAATTGCCGGTTTATGTTACACTATTTTTGTGGGCGGTGCAGCAGCAATAGGCGTGTTTGCCTGAAAGTGTATTCAACTCATTTTTCGGTATCATTTTGCTTTCAGTGTAAAGCGACCTCAGTCGACGAATGTGCACAATAATTGCTGCTTGCTAGTATTGAGTAATAAGACTTAAGATATTTAATTGCTTTTTAATTGCCTTTTTCTTTACAAATTTAAAAAACTCAAAACATTCAAGTCATATCAGATATTTTAATAATTACTATATAATAAACATGACATAAATTTAGTTTAAAGAAACTACGAAAAAAATTTAAAAACTTCTGCTTTCTCAAGTTTTTAAATATCCTTACCAACAAGTTGGCCCAAGCCTAATAAATTCTTCTATAGGCATTTATTTTAAGTTTAGTTAAACTGAATTCCTTTGGGATTAAGATTTTAGATTGTTCATAATTAAAAATAAAAGTTAATATCTTTTTTATATTTTTCAAAGAAATATCATTCGACCTATGTTTTAACTTAATCAAAATCAATCTAATTTTTGGTAAAGTGTACTTAGTTGTTCTTCGTCTTGATTGATTCTACATTTGAATATTATTTAGATTTATTATTACAAAATGCGAAAAATAAATGCGTAATCTGTGCATAATAACAACATTTTTATCCCTAATTTTTTAAGTTTTCGAGTTATGTTAAAAAAATACTGCGTGCAATTCATAATCTTCAGAGACAAATGAACTGGGAGCTGATCAGCTTTTGTCCATGTCACCTGCCCACATCCTTTGTTTAGTAAACGTATCGCTGTTTGTTAAAGCTCATTGATAAAGGTCTTGTACACATTTTTTGCGTTTGATATCGAATGTTGACAGCTGTTCTTGTACGCTGCAAACACATGTCTTTATATATATGCATATGTATATATTTTAACAGCTGTATTAGCTCTGTTAGTTTGAGTATTTTGCATAATGAGAATGGCATGTTTCTCTGTTACTACGCCATTTTACATGTAATCCAATTATTGCTCTGTGCTTTCTTCGCATCGTCTTTATGCACATACATATTTACATGCATACATTACATGAATTAAAAGCACTCTGATCTGTACAACCACCCGCTAGGTCGCAAGCCTATCCCTCTCTCGTTCTCTCTCTTACACACCCACACACCCGTACGCACACACTAAAGAAATATGCAGAGAGTAAAGCAAAGTGCGCTCACACTCGCTACACAGGCACAACATGTATTTGTAGCCATACTTTCACACTCACACTGACACTCTCGCTCGCAATCTCTCTCTCTCCCTTGGCTATGCATGCAATGTGATGTTTTGACTCTTCGTAGCGTTTTTCTTTTGCCGCAGCAACGATGGCATAAAAATAATTTCCATGCCGCTCGTTGAATCAGTTTATTTCTGTTCTGTTGAGTTGCAGGAACGTGTTCTTTTTCTACTTTCCGTTTGATTTTATTTCCTTATTATTATTGTTATTATTATTATTATTATTGTTAAATATTTGTTTCGCGTTCGGTTTGATTCGCTTCGGTTTGGTTTGGTTTGGTTTTTCGTTCTTTTGCCGTTCAGTTAACGTTTTTTCAAATACCAAACAAAACTAAAACATAATCAACGCCAATTAATTTGCATAAGTTATCGCCTATCTTTCGGTTTATTTTGTTTTCGATTAATACAAATACAAGTAAGATAAGCAATCCCAAAATAAAATACAAATAATAAAAAAAGTGTTTCGTAATCGCGTCAAAATCACAAGAGCAACAAGTTTTATTTACATTTCTCAATATTTGATTTGTTTTCAAATGCAAAGGTAAAAATGTTGCATATTTTTCGCATTTATGTAATTCCTATTTGCATTTAATGACATGAAAAACGATTTCAATATTTTCTTAGTTTTATGTATTTCCCATTTTCCACTTAACCTCAAATAAAGCGTCGCAGTAGCAGCAGCAGCCACAGCCGCCGCCGCCGCCGCCGCAGCAGAGACAAAATCTTCATCGCCTTCGTTTTGTTATTTTAAAAATATTTCGAAAATATAATTCTTGGTACTTCTGCCGGCTCTCAATACATATGCCGCCGTATCAAAGCAGCCTCGCCACTCACTACCGCCCCGCCCCACCCCTTTTGGCCGACAGTTGTTTGTTTATTTTTAAAATATTAGTTTTTCGCACGATTTGCGCGTTGCCAGCGCATGCAAAAATGCCCGAGAAAAGCGAAGGCAACAAATAAATAAGAAAACAAAAAAATAATAAAATTCGTAGCAAAGGTGAAAATTGTCGAATTTAAATATTGAGAAAATTTTCGCATGGAACAAAGCGGAGTAAAACACGTAGTGGGTGAAGGCCAAAGGCATTGGAAGTTTGCTTTATATTTAGATTCAATTGGCCATAAATGTATATAGATATCGTATAGAACTCTGGAGCGGGGATATAAACTTTTATTTAAGTAAAAAAAAGTAAAAATGGTTTCAAGTCAAATTTATCTGAAATTAAAAGTTGGATTTATTATGGGATTTTTTATTGAATTTTTTAAATTATTTTAAAATAGTTTCATATCCGATCAATATCAAATATTAAATATCTCTCATAAGTCCCAGCGTTATTAGCTAATCTGCATAGTTATTATAGGGTATACGAACTCAAACATTTACCAATAAATATTTGATCCAAAGCACGAAAAAACATTGTACCTTTTGCATCAATCGTTGTATTTAGCCTGCTTATACGAAATGTGTATTACATTTGGCTTTCATCAAGTTGAAACAAAAATAATGAAAATGAAGGCAAAACCTATTGGCTAACGAAAAACAATGGCTAATTGGATTGGGATTGGGATTGTTTAGCTAGAAATCGAATGAGTCAACAGAAATTGTTGAGGATGAAGGAAAATAATATGAGCAATGAAGAAGTGACATGAAAACTTAAAATAGTTTAAGTTTATGATTATTTATTTTATTAATAATAAATAATTGGGAAAAAACAATCCAATTGAGGCAACAAAATTAGAAGAATTTATGTAGTATATTTTGTAGCCAGTTATAGTTTCGAAAGGTCTTTGACGTGCTGAAGTCCCAAATCAATATTCCCATTACTGCAGGCGTATAATATATATTGGTGAGAGATACGATCTGGTATGAGATATAGATATAGTAATTTTCCTTTGGTCTTAATGTTGCAGAAAAAAGCAAAAACCTCTTTGTAGTGTTGGCATATACCTGACTTTAGATTAGTTTGACGACATAATGGAGTTTTATATACGCTCCACTGTATTGGATATATAACATTCATATAAACATCTTTATTATGCTTGATCCTGATTCATTTTTAATGTCTATTATCTTTGACTTATAAATTATGCAAGATCTTTGCTAATGATTTGTAGTTAAAATAATATATATATCATATGAAATATATATAAATAATATATGTGCTGAAATGCTCTCCATTTTCATAATTAAACTACATTATAATAGATGTGATATTATGTATATAAATATATAATTACAGCCATATTATATAAACGTAATAACGTGGGGATTATCCGCTTGCATTGCCTTTGACCTATTTGAATTGCGAAACCTTTTGCAATTCTGCTTGCCTGGGCCAACAGTGCCTCAATGATTAGCTCATGCGTCATTTTAATTACATCGATTTTTCTGTCAGTTTTCGGATCTATTTCTTCGCACACCCGCATACACCAACTGCAAATGGAAAACAGCAACAGCAACAGCAAATAGACCACGTTGACATTTCTAGGTATTCATTAAAAATGTTGAACATGTTTCTGTTGCCGCTGCTGTTGGTGTTGCTGTTGTTGTTGCTGCTAGCCACTACCCCGCCCTGTGCGTGTCCCTGGGAGCTGCATATAATTTAAATTAAATTAAAATAATTGATTTTACTTGCATTTTCTTTGTTTGCAGTTAACTTTCGGACATAAAATACATACACACATATATATATCTATAGGTATATATATAGCTATATATAACGTATACGTAGTGGGCGCACTTGTAACTAGGCTATAGCAAAAGGTTCAACTTAAATCAATTTCTGTTTTCAACTACCATTTGCTCGTCTTGTGCGTATTGAGGTAAGTGCTGCAGCTGAATTGATATATATATCGCTCTCTCTCTCTCTATATATAATATATAATTTTTCATTTTCTTCTTTTCATTTTGTTTTTGGTTTTCTTTGCAGATTTGAAAACGCGTTACAGCAGTATTATCTAAAAGAACTCTTAACTATCTTTATAGTGTACAATTATAGTTTAATTTTCATTTGACAAGCAAGAAAGCAGTAAAGTTTTTCACTTCATTTAAAATTTAACGTTTATGATTTTTCTTTTGTCTTTCAATTGTGCCAACTAAACTTTAACTAAGTGAGCTGAATGAATCCCATGTAGACTTTTTATTGGATTCTTTTTAAAGAAATTTTTTAAAATCAAATAAATATTTGAAATTGTATAGGAAAATGTTAGCAAGTTCATCGGTAGTTAGGGTTTAGCTTATATGAAACCTAAATCAGTTAAGTTAACTAACTAAAACTAGCTTTCTTGATTTACAAACATGTTCTTAATTTTATTTATATTAGATATATATTTGATTTAAACACTTGATAAGAATACTTTTTGTTTTATATATTCTATATATATAAAGTAGAGCTACTATAGATATATATAGGATTATAGATATACAAAGTCTACATTTACAATTTATAATCTAGAAGGCATAGGAAGCAGCAGTGCTTTAATAAATAATTCCTATAATTGTTAAGAAAATTAATTTTTTGAGGAAATGTGAAATTATGAAAATTAAACGAAATTAAAAGTTTGCTGAGGCAAGCTTAGTTTTCCCTTACTAATTATCAAAATTAAAAGAGTTACTAGTCGGCTTCATATATATAAGTATAATAAGTAGTTAAAAGGGAAATATGGCTTCTCAGTCAGGGCCGTAGCTCCGCTTAAAGTTTAGTTGGAACTATATGACCTTTCGACTATTCCTATTGCCTTTTAAGATATGTATTTATCACGCTAATCAAATTTCAATTGAGCCTAAAGTATTCTCTTAACTAACCTGTATCAATACAGCAGCAGCGATATGGTTGAGGGTCAGACAGCGGTTCAACAGCAGCAGCAGCAGCAATCGTCGGGCACTGGCAGCTCTGGTGCTGGCACTGGCGGTGGAACGGCTGGCGGTGCCGGTGGCGCCACCGCTGGCAGTGTGGCCAACAGTCAAGCGCAGCAAAATGGAGGCTCAGCGGCAACGGCAACTGCTGTGGCTGCGGCTGCAGCTCCGGCAGCAACAACCAACAATGCTGCAGCCAACAGCAATAATAACAATAACAGTGCTGCCACAAACAACAACAACAACAATAATAATAACAATAACAACAACAATAACAATAATAACAACAACGAACCGGATCCAAAAACCAATTTGATTGTGAACTATTTGCCACAGACAATGTCGCAGGACGAAATCCGTTCATTGTTCGTCAGCTTTGGCGAGGTGGAGAGCTGCAAATTGATACGCGATAAGGTGACAGGTGCGTATGCTTTGCTGCAATTGGCAATTGCGTTAGCCACATTGATTAATCGTTGACTTCAATTAGGCCAAAGCCTGGGCTACGGCTTCGTCAACTATGTGAAGCAAGAGGATGCGGAGAAGGCGATTAATGCATTGAATGGTCTACGTCTCCAAAACAAAACCATAAAGGTGCGATTACAGTTGATGATACTGAGCCTTATAGTGTCTTCTATCTGCTAAATAGCAGATGATGAAGTTTGCATTTATCAGAAGTCTCTCATATGTGTGTGTATATATCCAACTTTAGGTCTCCATTGCGCGCCCCAGCTCGGAGAGCATTAAGGGCGCCAATCTATATGTATCGGGTCTTCCAAAGAATATGACACAGTCCGATTTGGAATCTTTGTTCAGTCCATACGGCAAGATCATAACTTCGCGCATACTTTGTGATAATATCACTGGTAAGTTAACAAGAAGAAGCATCGATCGATATATTATTATAAGACAAAGGCATGTCCTATAGCTATAAACACTCTTTCTTATCATAAGTCCAGTATTTAAGTGTTTCTTTATGCAGTTTTTGCAAGCAAATTTTATGATGGGGAATATAATTCTATAGAAATTGATTGATTCATATAAATATAAAAGCATGTCAAAATTACGTTAAGTATAATTAAATAATTTTGTTGAACAAAATTTTTTCTTTTAGATTTGCTACACATTTTATAAGTTAATTTGATATTTGTTTAAACAATGCAAATAATTTGTTTACCAATTTATTTTTCATGTATTTATTGAACTACAAAAAATATATATCCATATATATTTCGATCAATAACTATATCAGATGAACATGCGGCGGGTAGGTTTTTACTTTTTGTTTAGCTGTTGAAAACGCAATTAATAAAATTCTCATTTTTCATTGCTTGGCATTCGTTTAATTTAATTTATTTTTATTAACTTTATATTTTTGTTAAATATATAGATTGTTTTGCTTAAAAATTAAAATTAATTGAATAATTTAAATAAATTATAAAATAGTAAATTTAATATTTCATTTTACTTTCAATTTTGTAGCCAAATAAGAGACAATTGAATTAGATTTACTATTTAAAAATAAGAGTTATTTTCAATATTATAAAAATATTTAGTTCTTTATCAAATATTCAAAAAGCAGCAAATATTATCAATCTCTAGAGAAATTAGTTCAAATTGTAATATATGATAATATTAGACTCCAATGTGAAATATATAAGATATCAGTGTACTATCTTTATTATACAGTCCAACAATTTAAGTGCTTATAATTACCTGGTATTTTCTAGCATGCTCAAGCCTTCTCTTAATAAATTATTACTTTTCCTATTGTTATTGTTATTCTTAAAGTTTTATCCTTTACAGTTTTTGATTTTGTTCTAATGCATATTATATTTTTATTTTCCTTAAAACAAATACCAACAACGAAATACCCAAATCAAATAGAATCGCATGCTGAGCACCCAGATCGTATGTATACTAAATAATTATTATTTCAATTATTTTTTTGTATTTTTCTTTAGTGTGTTTTGCTGGCTTTGATTTTGTGGTGCAATCTATCAAAATGCTGGCAATTCAAATGCCTTGTTCGCTCGTTGTGACAACTGAATTCGGTTATTTATATCATTTTCGACTAATTTGATCAATTCTCTGTTTCGCTTAGGTCTCTCCAAGGGCGTTGGCTTTATACGCTTCGATCAGCGCTTCGAGGCTGATCGCGCCATCAAGGAGCTAAACGGCACCACACCGAAAAATTCCACCGAACCGATAACCGTTAAGTTTGCCAACAATCCCAGCAGCAACAAGAACAGCATGCAACCGCTGGCCGCCTACATTGCGCCACAAAATACACGCGGCGGACGCGCCTTTCCAGCAAATGCGGCAGCCGGTGCCGCAGCGGCTGCAGCTGCTGCTGCCATTCATCCCAACGCGGGCCGTTACAGGTTAGCAGAGCAAGTAATGATGCAGTTCGTTTAGGTGTTAAGACGGTGCACGCTTGATGAGACCAAGATATTTACGATTTTTAAGGATGCATGGCAGATTGATAAGATTTATATATTTAAGTGAATATTTGCGAGATAAATATGAGCAGAACGAGTGTCATTTAGATACCATTTTCAAATGTATAATTAAGATGCTTCAAATTAACTCAATAACTACGTAAATGTAACCTCAGAACTATTCTTTGCAATAAGAAATATGACAAATAACTGTCAGAAGACATTGAAGCTATCTGTGAAACTGAAATGTTAAGCTAATTATATCAGTAGTGATCATTATGTGGAATCACTTAATATAAAAAGAGACAAGATGAGACCTATTAGTAGTATAAATAAAGTCAAAGTAAGAATCACAACGAGAAGTATATATGAGGTTAAAGGGTACAGGGCAAAGAGATTGTTGTTTGTTTAAGGATACAGATTAGATAAATATAAGCAAATACATTTTTAATATTATATTAAGAATTACCACAGAGTGAAACAACCAACAAGAACCAACAACCTAAATTTAATTGAACTCATTTGATATGTTTCTACAAACTGAATTTCCCTTTTTTCACTTAAAGCTCTGTGATCTCACGCTATTCGCCGCTCACCAGTGATCTAATTACCAATGGCATGATACAGGGCAATACCATTACTAGTTCGGGCTGGTGCATTTTCGTTTATAATCTGGCGCCCGAAACCGAGGAGAATGTGCTTTGGCAGCTGTTCGGACCATTTGGGGCTGTGCAGTCCGTAAAGGTGCGTCTCAGAGTTAGCTCAAATAAGCTTTGTTAATGCTTATGCTTTTCAGGTTATACGCGATTTGCAGAGCAACAAATGCAAGGGCTTCGGCTTCGTTACCATGACCAACTATGAGGAGGCTGTGCTGGCCATACAGTCGCTCAATGGCTATACGCTGGGCAACCGGGTACTTCAGGTCAGCTTCAAGACAAACAAAAATAAGCAAACGTAATTATTAACCAAGTTGGCTGCTGTTGTCAATGCCAATGCGGCGGCAGCGGCGCTAGCTGCCAATAGTTTGGTGCTCAATCATAACAACAACAATTACAACAACCACATCAACAACAACAACAACCATTCTGCCCACCCATTTGGCAAATATGCTAATCAGAACAGCAACAACAGACAGCACAACAGCAATAACAAACACAAACAGCAGACAACTTCAAACAGTAACAACAACAACAACAAGCACTCACTGACAACAGCAACAAAATCGAATTCGAGTGCAGCAACAGCCACAGCGAACAATCGCCATAGCAAACCGCCCACAAAGAGCAACAACAACAGCAACTTAACATCTACAAGCAACAACAACAACAACAAGAGCACCTCCACCCAAGCCACGGCCCGTAGCGAAAGCGGCGCCAGTTCAACCAGCAACAACAACATATTGAAAACCTCCACAAAGTTCATCTACAACAAGCCACAAAATCATTTCGAATTGCTGCAACAGCAGCTGCAGCTGCAGCAGGAGTTTGCCCAGTTCCTTACTAATGTGGCTAACAGTGCAGCAGGTGGTGGGTCCGCTGGAACGCCCAACACACACAACAATAACAGCAGCAGCAGCAGCAACCACAACAGCAACAGCAACAGCAACAACAGCAGCAACAGTAATGCAGCCAGCGGTTCGCATGCAGCACGTGGCACTGCCAACAGCTCCACGTTGAGCGGCTCAGCAGCAACAGTTGGCAACAAGAGCAATCACAGCCATAACAAGAACAACAACTATCAATCCTCATTTATGCCATCTTGGTCAAATTGGTTTTTTTAATTGAAGCTGATAGATTTTAAATTATTCTTTTGTTGGTTTGGTTTCTCGTTTTTTTACTATATATATCTATATATGGACGTTTTTTTTCATAATTACCTTTTTGAAAGTATATTTTTGTATTCAATTTAAGTTAAAAATTTGTAGAAAAAACGTTTTTTATGCTCAGAAGACAAAGATTATTGATAACTGTATAAAAAACAATAAAAAGAAACAGAACTGAATGAAATGGCAACGTTTGGCATATGCTTTAAAGCATTTGCAGTTCGACATATGTTTATAAATATATATATAGATATAGTTATATATATATATATATATTTATGTGTAACTCTTGCTTAAAATAAAGATCGTATTGCATTATTATTATATATATTTATATATATATATAGATATGTATACACTTAAATACACATTTTTTATTCAATTCACAAATATCATCTAAATCATTGTCATGTGTTGAAGAAACTTATCCAATTCCTAGCTATGTTAACGACTTTATCTGAATCTAACCTGACGAGCAGCAAAGAAATCGAATGTGCAGCAAAGTAAAAACAAAAACGAAGAACGAAAAAAACTTAGAAAATCTATAAACAAAACAAGAGCTAAAAATACAGAGAATTTTTCGAATACAACGAATAAATGTTTAAGAAAAATTTAAAGCTAAAAAGCGAACTAAATACGAAAAAACACATAACTAAATATCATTTTAATTAAATATAAAAAATTCCATAAATAATAAATAAAACACAATTAAAAATCAATTTTAAAACAGATAAAACCTAACACAAAAACCAGCTAAAAAATATCTATGCACGCCATTCGAAAAATTTCAAAAGTCCAAGAAAAATTCTTAGCCTAAAACTTAACTGTAAACCAAGTGAAAAGTACGTAAAAGAAATATTGACAAAATGCGTTTCAGCAAAACGAATTTGTTACAACCAACAAAAAACAAAACAAAAAACAGCAATAATAAAGGAACAAACAATTAAACAAAATAATGAAAAGATAAATATATTGAAAACAAATTGCCAAATTAAATGTAAAAGAAATGCCGAAGAACAATTCTTAGTAACAGAGTGAAAGAGATTTACCCAAAAAGTGATTTGATCCAGAACTAACGCAATGTTTCGACAAATGATATTTATGCATTTAAAAAAGACAAAAGTCAGGCGCAAGGGTTAGAAGAGAAAGTATGATCAAAGTTCTGTATAACATAGAAAACGTGGTGCTTGAGAGATTTCCTTGCAAAGCTAGTTCAATCTGCTAGTACTTGAAACCAAACAAAAAATAAATGATATATATACAATATATATATATATATAAAGTCTTGTTATCGAATTTTTATTTGGATTCATCAAATCAAACCAAATCAAATCGGGAATTGGGGAAACACTTTCTTATTCATAATCATGTTTATTTTTCGTGGCGTCAACTCCTTCAACAATTCGCAATGTTAAAACACATTAAACTATGCTATATATATATATTAATTAACTCTATATAAAATCTATAACTAAAAAGCAAAACAAAAAAGTATATTATATATGATTAACAATATATTGATGTTGTGTATTGCAAATTTTAAATGTTTATACATATACATACATACCACAAGAAATTATTATAAATGCATAAATCACAAACAACAAACCCTTTCATGTATACGTCAAGTAAATTTATTGCAACTATTTCAAAAAAAAAAAAAAATATGAAGCGAAACAAAAGTAATTCAAATATTAACAAAATGATATGTATGTATATTTACGATTACGATTACGATTACGATTACGATTATTAAGTATGTTTGTGTGTGTAGTGCGTATAGGCGCAATATCTGTAGAGCTCAATGGCTTATTTCCACATGAGAAGCAAGTGAAGCAATCGAATCGAATCGAATCGAATCATTCAAATCATCCGAACTATAATAATTCAATCATTCGAATCACTTGAGACATTTCATGCGCAAATGCTTGACTGAAATTTAACAAAAGAAGAAACAAAAAACAAAAACAAGAAGAAGAGTATAAACTGGTTGCTTTTATGCGATTTATAAGAACAAAACCTTCCAAAAATGAAACAAAAGAAAACATTGTAGAAAGTTCAAGAGAAAACTATAAGAAGAAAACACCAAGAAAACCCTTTTTTACTAATCAAGGCGCTCACATTTTTGTGCAGCTGCCACCTGGATTGGGGAAAAGGCGAAGCAGAATGCGTAATGCAATTATTATAAACAAAACAAAACAAAAACAGCAACAAATAGAAGAACAACAAAAAGCAATCGATTATATACATTTTTTAAGATGAAAATGTTTTATAAATAAAATTAAAAAAAAAATACCGAAGAATGAAGAAAATCCAAAAAAAAAAAACATTAATATAAAAAAGCGAAAAAAAAACCAAGAAAGTATTTTAAAAATTTAAACATATACATGAATACTATATATACAATATATTATATTATATATACATATTATATATATATATATATACTTAACGGTATTGGTAACGAACAAAAACACCGCACAATAATATACAAAAAAAAAAAAGAAAACAAAACAAAAAGAGTAAGAATACGTAATGACAAAACTCTGATAACAAAAGAAAAAGTTAAACTAATGCAAACAAGACTAAAAGGAGAAGGAAAACAATTAATAAATATGGAAAAGCAAGAAAAGGAAAACTGAAAACGAGCAACTTTATAATTTTTACATGAAAATAAAACGCAAACGCAATAATGTTAACATTTAAAGATTGAACACGATGAGAAAGAAAGAAACAGAAAACAAAGCGCATATCTTGAAAAACGAATAAGAAGAAAATACGAGAGAACTATGTTGATGAAATCTATTTAAAAACAAAAAAGAAAGAATGAAAAACCAAAAGCAAAACCAAAACAAAGAAGATACGAAAAGTTACCACAAATTTTAACTGTAAACCAAACAAAAAAAAAACAAAAACAAAAAAGAAGCAGAAGCAGGAAGGAAGGAGGGAATATGGTACACTTTTATACTTTTACACCAGAAACAGAAATATAAGGAAATATAGTGCATACACATACACGTACGTATAGAGTCAAGGATCTGGCGATCTAGTAATCGTCTGATTTTCGTTTGTCGTTCGCGTTTGAAACCAAAAAAGGTTGTGCAATGCTCTGCAGGCGGAACTGGAACTGGAACCGCATTCGGCCCTGGTTCCGGCGTCTGCACAGCGCTCTCTTTAAATGTCTCTCTCTTATACACAGTAACTCACACACACACACATACACACACATACACAGACACTTACACACACAGCTCTAACACTCTTTAACTAGTTAGGCTAAAGAGTTGAATAGTCGTCGAGCATCATCTGTGGGTAATATTCAAGAACTTGATCTGGGTATTTAGATGATGTGCTATAAATTAATTAAATAGGCTTCTAGGCATAGTTTAACAAAAACTGAACTGACACTAGTTGTTGACTTAAGGACTATTCGCACGGAAAACAAAACTCCCAAAAGAAAATTAATTCGAAAATATTTCAAAAATTTTATTCAAATTTGATTTAAAAACTTTGCAAAGAAAACCAAAAAAATGATATAAGCTAAGCGAGAGTATTCCTAAGGCTTTTTATTTTCGCTGTTTCCAGATATTTCTTCAAATTTTGCTCAAGAGTTCTAGGTATATATAGAAATGTCAGCACATCTCATGCATACCTGCTAAATATATATTTCTCTAGTTATTTCAATACTTTAAAGATCTATTTTTGTTAAGCTTCTTCCTACACACAACGTTTTTGGTCTAAAGATTTGCAAAAAAAAAAAATTATTAAAAATACAAATAAAAATCGAACAGTAAAAATATAACTATCCAGTAAAATTTCGTAGTGCATGTCATCAGTAAATTAAAGATCGAAGTTCTCTCTCTCTATATGTTTGCATTAAATGTTATAGAAAAAAAAACAAAAAAAAATAAAATAACGAAAAAAAAAAACAAAAAGGAAAAGAACTTAATATATATTAAATGAATTATGTATAAACCAAAACTTAGTCGAAAAAACCAACTTAGTCAAAGGTACTAATTTTAAGCACTCTTGTTAAATGCCAATCGAACGCAGCATTCAATGATTGATTGATTGATGAAGCGATTTTAGTGCAACAGAGAATCTTTGGTTCCATCAAGCTCAACATTTGCATAATTTAATCAATTGCAATTATTTCTTATTATCGTCTATGGTTTAGCTTACGTATAGTACTTGAAAACAACATACTAATTATGCCAGATATAATATATATATATATATACATGTATGTATATATATATATATATATATATGAATATTATATATATGTGTAACTATGCAAACGTTTTTTTCTCGTCGTTATAAACATAGTCAAAATATTGGTGGACCGTATCGTATTGTAGTAGTAAATATTTAACTTAATCATGTCAGATAACAGAAACAACAACAACAAACAAACAATTATTCCAGTTTAATTACAAAGTGCATATTTATCTATTGAATTACTGTCGAATTCTCTCATATATATATATTTATATATATATATATATATACGGGCGCTGGATTTATTGCCACGCCTAACAACAACACACACACACTCAACACACACTCCTTAAACAATTTTCTTCGAATTTTCATTCAATTAACTTAAACCGAAACATAAAAATAAAATGAAAATGACAAAAAAAGAAGAAAATATAAAATAATATTACAGAAAAACAAAAACGAAACAAATTTATATAGCATATTTATGGTATACTCTGTGCAAGATTTATTAAGAATCAATTAAACTTCATTATGGATTACTCTGAGAATTTACAACAGCAAAAACACTCACACGAAACACACAATGAAGGTAACAACAACAACAACAACAATTTATTCAATAAAGCTATGAAATGATGTGTTTAAAAACAAAACTTGATCAATTATTAAGCGTCTAAGGAACCAGTTCGGATAAGTCTAATATATCGTAAGTGCTGTGGGCTGTGCTCTGATAAGCTGATATGCTCTGATAAGCTGATGATGATAAGCTAGAATCATAATATATATACTATTTGTCTTTAAGAGATGTTTCTCTTTTATATTTATTGATTTTTATATTTTTGGTTTTTTTTTTGTATGAATTAGAATTAGATTGAAAACAGTTAATAGGTTTTAAGCCTTTTCTATGTTTTGCTTTATTTAAACTCCTTGCTGTATGCTAATATTATTTAGCTTAACACCTTGCAGATATTATTAAATTTTATTTTGCAATTTTTATAGTTAGTTATGCATTCTGAGGTGTATTACTGTTAAATCATCTTCAAAGATCAGTGTATTCTTTTATTTGGTGTGGGCAGACTTGAAAATATATTTTATTTTATTGTCTACTAGTTCGGGGATTTAAATTGGTTTTTTGTAGTAATAACTGTCTATGCTATAAATACATATATATTTGCTAAGTAATAAGTCGAGTCCATTAAGTTCTATTCAGTCGTTTGTCCATCCTTCCGTCCATCTAATTGTATATGTGCTTAATTTGATCTACAAACGTATAAGAGCTATATGCGTAGCTAGTTCCATAGGGTTGAGTATATAGTATATAGTATATAGTATATGGTAAATGGCATATAGTATATAGTATATGGTATAGTATAGTATGGTATGGTATGGTATGGTATGGAATGGTATGGTATGGTATGGTATAGTATAGTATGGTATGGTATGGTATGGTATGGTATAGTATAGTTGAGAATTGTCAGTTTTATAAGGTATATTATAGTATGGTATATACATAGTATAGTATGGTATACAGTATATAGTCCATAATAGCAGATCAGGATTCACATCTTAAAATGTGGATGTTGAGTTTTAGTTATTGGAGCGCTGTCGTTTGTTATTTGAACTAGTTTGGTATGTGATTCTTCTAAATAATAAGGGATTTGGCTCAATGAAACTATATGCGTTGACTCATAATTTCTTAAGTATTTACTATTTCGTATTTAATTTTGCATTGTTCACTGAGTTTGGCAAGAAACATGGCGTAGTTAGTAAACCAAACGTAAGTTAGCCGATGAGAAAGTTGTGTGAGTCATAGGCCGATCAGTGGAATACAGGACTATGAGTAAACGCCTATTAAGTCATAAATAAAAACAAATTGTGCATAGTCTGGGCCTATCTCCAATCAAGAAATGAAACCTAATTTTCATTTCTCTTACTCTTAGCCTGAAATAGTATTTCTATCGTAACATTCCTTATGTCACGTTGTGCGCTTCCTCTAGCATGTAAATGATTCACGATGAGCTAAAGTGAGTTTCAGGACTCAAGCTATGTCATAGCAACATTTCGATGAGGACTTTTCTCTTTTGTCTCAGCTCAAATTAAATGGAATTCGACAAACTAAAGCGAGCAGAAGTGGAGCAAGAATGTGGCTTAAAGTGCTTTAAACGAATGTTGCATATCATGTGACTATTTCTGGCAACGTGCACATATAAAGTGGCTGTCAAATTGGTTGAGTTTGCTGAAACTCGCTGCTGCCGATTGCCGTTGCTCTGCGCTGCTTGCGAGTTGTGGCAATGGCTTTAAATATGGCAAGCTTTTAGGCGGCGACATAAATTGTGAGCTGGGGCACAGGCTGTGGCGATGGTCTGGGCGAATCTTACATAAATTTCAGTGGCATGCGGCATGTGGATAGCTGCAGCAGCCGCAAAGTGTGCAACGCAATGAGCTTTGAGGTTATGTAATATGGCTGGCACAGCTGAACGAACAGTTAAAGGACACAAAGTTTAAGGATCACGTTCAAAGAATTCGGATGGTATGAATATCCAGTTCTTGGCCAACTCGTTGAGAGCCTCCACCATTAGGCGACTGAGCACGGACAAAATGGTGCTGAGAGAGAGTGAGAGAAGGCGCTTGAAATTTGTGAAGTAGTCGGGTGCAGGGTTGAGCCACTCACTTGTGATCCACTTGCATGTTGATGTTGCAAAACGGCATTTGCATGGGATCCGACATGATCACATCATCGTAGGTCTTGTTGAACTTATTGCGCGTGCGCTCGGAGGGAATGCGCATGAAATTCGACTTGGATAGGAATTTCCAGAAGAGCTTCTCGAATATGGTAACGCGATGGTCGATGGCCATGCTTAGTTCGATCACCTCGTTGGCATTAAGTTTGCGTTTCATGGACAGGCGCTTGATCAGCTCCTCGCGTTCCATTTGCTTCTTGTCCGGATCTGTTGTCCTGCTCATGGACTTATTATCGCCGGCAGCGCCCGGGTCAAGGCCGACGCCGCCGCAGGGCGAGCAGGTGCCCTCGACCTCAATGGCAGTGTCGTCATCTCTTTCCTCGCGGCTGGACACATGGACACGTATGTTCAGATGAAGGAAGACATGCTCCACATAGCTATCCTCCTTCCACTTGGGATCATCAATGGACTCGACCTCGGCCAATTCGGCCTTGGCTATCTGCGTGGCGGCATCCAGAATGCGATGCACCTCCAGCACAATGGGTATGCGGCGAAAGAAGAGCAGCCGTTCATAGGCGCTCACCCTAATCTCGCAGAGCTTCGAATGATGCCCCTTCAGCCGAAAGCTGGGCGGCTCGAAAGTGACGGCAAAGAAGTCACTAATGATGTAGCTGCAGCAGAAGGAGCAGATGTAAATGAAAATGTTTCGGCAATTCGACAAGCTCAACCAAGACTGACTTCTGCCAACGAAATTCCATGCACTTCTGTCCATAGTTGTGTAGATTGACGAGCTGCGTACGATTCTCCTTGACGCACAGCTCAAAGCTCAGGCGATTCGGATAGATAATGTAGAGATAGTCGGCAGACTCCCTGTCCTTGAGCGGCATATCGGTTACCTCGTGCTCATCTGTGAGTGCGCCACGCGCCTTGATCTTGTAGCGTGCCCTTGCGTTGTCATATGTTAACAGTAATTCGATCTGAGCTCAGAGAGAGAGAGAGAGAGAGAGAGAGTTAGTGGAGGAGTATGGGAGTTTTTCTTAGATACTAGTCTTATGAGGCTTGAATAAGTGCGTTTGGTGTGAAGGACTTTCTGCCTCGGTTGTGTCTGGGTTCTGTTTATCTATCAACTCTCATCTTTTGTTTGGTAGGGTTATAAGGCTTGAGAGCGATAGGCTGAGAGTTCTATATGTAAAACTTGTAAAGACTTTACCTTTTTTCTATCTCATTCTGGTGAAGTTGGAGATGTGCTTGGAATTCCTTTATGGTTTCAGAGAGAGAGAGAGAGAATGAGAGAGGGGGAGATTTCTGTTCATAAACCTGGCATAGAAAAGACCTCGTCTCTTTTCTATTTCACTCTGGTGAGAGAGAGAGAGTTCAGACCGTAAACCTAGCAAGCAAATACTATTATTTTACTATTTGTTTAGCTTACATAGAAGAAGTCAAACTCTCCTTAAAGCTTGCCTCATTCTCAGTTAGTTGCCTTGTGGAAGATGCGCTTGGAGATCTTATATGGATTGAGAGAGACAGAGACAGATGGCTTAGAAGAGAGATAGCTGGAGAGAGACAGAGACAGTTGGCTTAGAAGAGAGATAGCTGGAGAGAGAGAGAGAGAGAGAGAGAGAGGGGGAGATTTCTGTTCATAAACCTGGCATAGAAAAGACCTCGTCTTTTTTCTATTTCACTCTGGTGAGAGAGAGAGAGAGAGAGAGAGAGTTTAGACCTTAAACCTAGCAAGCAAATACTATTATTTTACTATTTGTTTAGCTTACATAGAAGAAGTCAAACTCTCCTTAAAGCTTGCCTCATTCTCAGTTAGTTGCCTTGTGGAAGATGCGCTTGGAGATCTTATATGGATTGAGAGAGACAGAGACAGATGGCTTAGAAGAGAGATAGCTGGAGAGAGACAGAGACAGATGGCTTAGAAGAGAGATAGCTGGAGAGAGAGAGAGAGAGAGAGAGAGAGAGAGAGGGGGAGATTTCTATTCATAAGCCTGGCATAGTAAAGACCTCGTCTCTTTTCTATTTCACACTGGTAAGAGAGAGAGAGAGCTTAGACCTTAAACCTAGCAAGCAAAGACTTTTATCTTACTATTCGTTTACCTTATATAGAAGAGGTTAAACTCTCTTTAAAGCTTGCCCCATTCTCAGTTAGTTGCCTTGTTGGAGGTGCGCTTGGATATATTTGTTTCTCTAATGCTTGCCCCAGCTGCTCAGCTCTTCCCCTTAAATACCTCAAAGGTCAAGTCCACTGTGTCTACTAAAAACTTTGTTCTACTCTGAGACTTAATTTCCTACAGATATATTCTGCCATTCGCCTGCCGCACTCATTGACAATTCTTGGTCGACCCGACTATACTCGAAGCACTTACCTCATTCTCATAGTCCAGGGGTCTGTACTCAACGAGCAGGGGCCAGACACTCTGTCGGGGCACAGTCAGATTCGAGTTGTGCAGCTTGAAGCTGCGCTCGCGTGCGGAAAAATTGAACGCGAGATGTGTCATGGTTATGTTCTGCACCCAAATCGGCTGTGTCACATGACGAAAGTTTTTTATATTTACGGGCAGCAGCTCGTTCGTTAGCAGACAGCGTTCCGGATCGAAGGCTGTGACTTCCAGCTTGAAGCTCCAGGTAAACTTGCGATTGTCGTTGGTGCTAGCAGAGGGCAGCAGTTGGGAGCTTAGATGGGCGACGAAGGGCAATACTTACTGGATCTCGTAGGTCAGATAGTGTTCGCCGTAGAGAAAGAAGTTAGCGGTCGCTGAGATGGGCAGCACCTCGTCCGGCTGCAAGTTGAGCAGCTCCTGGCTGATCTGAATGAGCCGGCGATGCGGGCAGTGGAAGAGCTGGCGGAACTGATTGAAGCCGACGCGGGTCTGCAGCGGCTGGCACTGGCAGTTCTGAATGCGCTTCAGCTTCAGCTCCAGCGGCTTGGCGGACATGTTGCGCAGCCAGAATATCATCTTCAACGACTGGCTGTGTATCTGGCGCAAGGGAATGGCCAGGATGTGCTCGAACTCGCACTTGTTCGAGCGCAGTTTCTTATTCAAGCTGCGAGAGCAGAGTGATAAGTCTGTTCCAGCTGGCGCCAAGTGCTTACCCTGTGATATCGAAGCTCTCCCAGTAGTAGAGCTTGAGTATCGGTGGACGTATAACGGTTAGATTCTCCACCATCAGCTTCTGGTAGATTGGCAGCGGGTTTAAAACGCCCACGCAAGGACATTTCGGCATTTTAAGTGTTTTTGCTTCTGTTTTTTTTTAGAAATATATTTTTATATATTTGAATGGCCGACAAGTTGCCTCGATTTGAAAGTGTGTGCCTTGTCGACACTTGTCACACTGTGCCTGCCCCGGCTCGACTTGGGCACGTTCTTTTAATGCCATTAGAAGTTTGCACTGCACGGCCCGAGGCGCCTCTGCATGCTGCACACTCGTAAATATTCATAAATGGTCAGCCGCACATACGAACGCCCACACCCACCCACACACACCCACACACACACATGGAGGCTGTATAGCCCTGAGCATTTTTTGAGTGTGTTGCATAAACTGAGATTTTGTGGCAACATTGTGCGTGGCATCTGCAAAGAAATTTTTATTGTGCGGCTTAATGCATTGTATAAACAAATCAATTTATATAAATTATTAATTGTTTCTAGTCTTAAAGCTATTCACATAATATTTTTATAAATTTCATATAGAAACAAATTTCTGATGGAACTTAAATTTATTCGTTCAATCTTAATCTTTTTAAGTTAATTTTTAAAAAATATTTTGTTATATATTATTTTTATTTATTAAATAATTAAATGCTATTATTTTATTAATTATATATTTTAAGAATTTCTTAAATAAATTTTCTAAAAAAAATAATATTTTTTTTTCAACTCCTTTAGCATTAACAGTTTTAACTGCTATTGCAGGTAACCGCAAAGTCAAACAGAGCTCAACTTGTTTAAGCTTAGATCCTTATGCATGTTTTCTTTTTTTCATGCCGCAGCACAGCTTGCAGCATTGTTGGCAGTTGCAAGCAATCAAAACAATAGCCAGGGCTTTAGCGGAAGTAACTAACGTGTACGCATGAATACATGAGCTGGCGCAGGTGCGAGCGAGCTGACAATATGCGGTGGCAGATTTGCATGCAACTCGGAGTTGGTGCCACCAGGCGATGCCGATTCCTGCTGCCACGCCGCCTCGTTGTCTCTGGCCCCAAAGGGCAACGATGTCGTTGCAATTCGTTTTGTTTGTCGATTGACAAAGTGCCAAAGGCCATAACCAAGTTTGTGTGATTGTAAGTGTGTGTGGGTGTGTGTGTGGGTGTGTGTAAGTGTGGCAAACAAACGAGCAAGAAAAAGACATTAGTGCCAACGCGCCTGTCAAAAACAAACCCCAAACACGCGTCGCAAACGACATCATATGTGGGCTCCAGTTGCCAGTTGCCAGTTGCCAGTTGCGAGTTGCCAGTCGCAGCGAGTCGTGTGCATTGAGGCATTGAGGCAACATCATTTACAGTTAGTGCGCTGACAATTGCAGGCTATAAACGACAATTAGATGGACCCCAAGCCATCTGGCACAGTGGATGCTTCACACTTTATGGGGCCTTAAGATGCATAACAATCTAGCTTAATTTCTTTGCCAAAGTTTGGTTGGCACAAAAAATACTGCGAATTAGATAGTTTTGCTTTCAAAAAATACCAGACATATTTAAATACTAAGAAATTCAACAACGAATTCAGTTGCTAATGTTGAACTAAAGGCAGTTTATTACATACTGAAGTAGATATGAATATTCATTATAAAAAATACTACTGGGTATTAAAAAAATACTGCATACTAAAATTAATTTTTTTAAAATAGCTAATACATAATTTTTTGAATGCAGTGCATAAAGCTCTACATATAACTAAAATACCAAATTTAAAGGCGAGTTTCTAAAAAATAATTAAAATGCAAAGAAAAATAAATAAAATACCAAAAGCAAATACAAAATTCTATAGAAAGTAATGCTTTGCCATTTGGATTTTGTTTTTTTATTGGAGTATATTTTCCAACATGTGTTAGTAAAATATTATATTTACCGGTAAAATACCAAAAAAAAACTAAATAAAATACCAAAAAATTAAAACTCTATTGAATATAAAATTTTGCCATTTTAATTTAGTATTTATGAGGGTATATTTTCTATTATGTATTATTTAAGTATAGAAATTACTGAAAAAATGCCAAAAAAAATACCAACTACAAGACAACCGCAACTGCAAAACATAAGATTTTAAGTTACTAATAAATAAATATTTAGTCTCTCTCTACATTCGATTTATAAGTCTTATAAATTTTTAGTATTTTCAGCATATTCTAGTATATCCCGACTTTTTAGTATTTCTATTTGTATGCCAAAAACAATGTCTAGTTGCAACAGTACAGCTAATCGACAAGCATTACATCAATCACAGCCCGTGACAGCAACGCATCCGCGCTTATCAATCGTCAGCCCTTCGAACTTCATTCACGTCGCTTTTTCCGACTCCCCAATCCCGGGCGAAATAACAATGGCTAAAGTGCATGACCAGGAGACAAGGCAGCTCTGTAATTGTCGCTCGCTGCTGTTGAGTGTTTCACTAGTTCCAGCGTTTCAGCGCACTCAAAATGCACTCAAATGCGGCCCGTTGCCACTCGTTCCGCCTGCTCGACTGCGGGCGACTGTGGGCGGCATTTAAATTGAATGCAGCTTCAGCAAATTTTTGCGTGGGACACTTGGCGAGTTGCTGGCGACAACTTGTTGGCCAATTGTTGTGTGGCTTGACTTCGAGCAACTTTTCATGTTTCGGTCAACCGTTTTGTGGCCAATCAAAAGAGCCTCAAGTACTTGGCTAAAATAATGCATATATATATATACATACACATTTACATATTTATGTATACAAACACTTGTAAAATGCATTGAGTGCGGTCGGCGCCTGCAGCATAATTATGGCATCATTTGCAGCCTCAGCTATGCCAACTAATTACGAAAAAAATAAAACTAGTGTGGGTGCTTTAGCGGGGCATGCCTGACTAGAAGTTGCGCTAAAAGGCATGCGGAGTCCCTTGCTTTTTTGTCAGCATTTCAAAACTGTATATAGCAAGTAGACTTTTATATATTGATAAAAGAAACTTATATAAAAAATATTAATTTAATATAAAAAAGAACTAGCATGTTTGACCTGACTAGAAGTTTGCTGTCACCTGCAAGATTTCTCATAGATATTATAGAAATTGAAATATATATTGAAGAAGAAGAAGAGAAGAAAATTTATTTTAAATATTAATTTATTATAAATTTATTTATTTTATTTAATTTTTATAGTTCACGAATTCTGATGAAACGGCTTAACTATGCAGACTAATCAAGATTTTCTATATTTGATTGAATATGCTCGCTTCTCTTAGTTCAGCTTTTAGCACTTAAGCCGCTCTAGACTAAGAGGCTAGTGCTTGCAGCTGACTTTAACTACTTTAAGCAAAGCTAGAAAGTGCATAAAATATAATTTATACATATTTTTATGTATCATCTAGCTAAGCACTTATGCATCATAATTCTCTTAGCTAAGCCCCCGATATACCCGGTTGGACCTTTGAAAACAGCGTAGAACAGCGCGCCCATAGCAACGTCCTTTTGGGCGCGCTCTAAGAGCATATGGCAATTAAAAAGTTTGCATCCAAGTACATTTTTTACCTGCTCTTCAGGCAGGTGGTAAAAGTTGCCAGCAAGCAGTGCGTGTTTTGGCTGTCGCAACGGGCTGCATCGCACTGTCCCATGCTGAGCATAAAAAAAAGAAGCTGCTTCAGCCTCGGGCAGCCACGGCTACATAGGAAACTTTCATCCACAAAGAACTGCGATGTTCATTTAATTTCTCGTAATAATCTCAGGTTTATTTAGTATTAAGTGTGCAAACATTATTAACTATAGGTAGATGATTCGTGGTAATTTTTAAAAATAATTGGCAAAATATTGAAGGCTTCTTACAGTATTTTTTAATTATATTTTTGGCACTCTTTTATCTAAAAGGAAGTTCAAATATTTTTCGCTTTAAAGTATTTTTTATCAGATGTCTTCTAATATTTATATACTATATAAATAATGCTTTATTCTTTCTTTCTCGCTCCCTCTCCTTGTCTCAATTCTTCTTCTTGCCTCTCCTCTCTCTCTATCTGTAATATATATCTTTATCTCTCTCTATCTCACTCTATGTCACTCTAGTTCTATCTCTCTCTTTCACTCTGCCTCTCTTTCTCTCCATCTGAGCGTCCCACTTTTTTGCTATCTAACTCTCTTCTATCGCTTTGTTTGTTTGTTTCTCTCACATCTTTTTTTCTCTATCCCTATCTCGTTCTTTCTCTCTATATGTGTCAAGTCTTTCCCCTTTTCTCTTTTTTCTCTCTTTCCTGCCTAATCCTTTCCCTATGTATATCCCTAACTGCTTCTCTCTCTCTCTCTCTATCTTATTGTTTTTCAGTTTATTTAGATTTATCTATCTCTATCTATATTTGTCTCTCTCTCTGTCTATCTCTCTCCTGCTTCTACTCTCTTTCCCTCCCTTTATCTTCCTCTTCCATTGTCTATCTCTCTTTGTCTTCCTCTGATGTTCTCTCTCTAAGTTCTTCTCTCACACACTCTCTATCTCTCTCTCTCTCTCTATTATTTATCTCGTTAACTCCGCCTTTCTTTCCGATTCTTCCTTCCTCTTTGTTTACACATGCTTTAACATTCTTCAACATTATATCTGTTTGACTTTAAATATTAGTTCTTGTTTTATTGCTCGCATATAATATACAGTTTGACATTGAATGCTTAGATGATTCGTATTATTTTCATGAAAACATTTATTTAATTGCCTGTCTTATTCAGATGAAAGTTTCCAGTGTTTGTAAGCGAACAGTGAGTAAAATATATTGTTTAGTTAAGAGGCTGTTATTTAAAGTGCACCTGCGGGAACTGAGGTGCAACAGGGGCGTGGCAGCTAGTGACACTCGACATCCGATGTGCCCATTTGGTATGCGATGCCAAGAATTGTGAGTCGCAATGAAAGTGCTGCGGGGGGACAGAGAGGGGCAGTTAGAGGAGTGAGCTCCTGTGGCTGCAGCAAACAATTATTGTTATTTCAATTTAAATGCAGCATGCCAGCCCCTCAACCAGGTAGATCCCATTCACAGCGCCCTATTTGCGGGCTTTATGCGGCGCTATCAAAATTATACACCTTGCAGCTATGAACGGAGCTGATGTGATGAGTACTTGAGTGGAGGGAGATAGACAGAGGG